TGGGCTGGGAGAGGGTGAAATAAGTCGGACCGCGGCTGGGGGGGTGAGAGCTATCCTCTGTGGTTTGGGCACCCCAACTTCTGCGGTGGCCTACGGGGCGCGACCTGCCGCCTCCCTCAGTCGCGGCCAGCAAAGGTGGGTGACGCGCAGTTATCCCTACTTGGGGCAGCGGGAGCTGGGAAACGAGTGTACAGCCTTTCTTGGGTGTTGGCGTGGGCAACTGTCTTATTTGCAAGGCTGTCTCTATCCAAAGGATGATTTTTTTTTTTCTGGTTTGTTTGTTTGGTTGCTTGGCCAAACATGTGGGTTTCATTCCTAAAAAGTCAACAGTGCATCTCCTGGGGCCCTTTCCCCATGTTAGTCCAAGTAATTCTAAAGTGGACACTGGTGTTTGAGGGAGATAGAGCAGTGGTTTGCACTCTTTTGCTGTTGTGGATGCATAATGCTTTCCACTGGCTGTACAGAACTCTTTGGCAATACTTCAAATGTGGCATTTATTATTTATCTTTTCTTAGTGGCCTTTCCTAGGTGGCTAGGATGAGGGTCACAAACAACTCTAAGGGGTTCACTGCCTGAAAATCACTGAAATGAAGAAAGAAAATCAAAGGCAGGGAAGTAAAAACAGAAAAAGGGAACCAAAGGGAACAAGACAGAACTTCAAATGGGTTGAGGGTCAAAAGTAAAAAGTTAGGATTTACAAAAGGCCTAAAAACACCAGAAAGAGGAAACAAACAAATCACATAACTTTTGTGCTTTTGTCTGGCTTTGTTATATTTACCACTTAGATTTCTAAAAAGAAGTGTTAGACTCCTTGGTGTATGCTGTGTTTGGTGGCAGCCAAACTAGATTGCTAATGATGACATGGTTAATTGGTTGCTAACCAAAACACATGCAGATGAAACTTCATGATAGCTAATGCTTTTTGTAGCATTGTAGTTCTTTTTTTCTCTGCCTCTGCAGTGGTGTACAGAATTTGAGAGATACTCATCATAGTTTCATAACACTAAAAAAATATACTTGATTTCATGTTCTTTTGCTGTCGAAACAGTGTGACAACTATTCAAAATATAAAAAGGAATATAAGACAAACCAAATAGTATATGCTTTTCACTACCACTAGCTGATGCAGGTATTTTTTTGTTTGATGAACATTATTCATAGAAAGCAAAGCAGGAGGAAGTGTAAATGCTAGTTTTTATTCTCTTTAGAGTCTCAGAAATCACTTGACAATTCACGGATGCCCTGTGTTTGCATACAAGCTGGATGCAAGTAGGCATTAACTGGATTAATAACAGTCTGTTAAATTTAACAATACAGTGAACATCAGGAATGAGTTAATCTGAAACCCTGTGGTAACCAGCACAGCTACTTTAAATGATGTCCTTCTGCACACACAAATATTTGTATGCTATATGCAGAAGGGGTGGGAAAGCCGAGCACTTTTTCACAAAGGAGGTTCTGTTTTCAGTAACATGATTCCAGTTAGTCCTGGCCAAAGCAGTAATGCCTACAGCAATTATGACAAAGGGAAAGTATTTTTAATTTGATGGCATTACGTCTCCTTTGTCTCATCAGTGCAATGCAAGTATAAATAAAAGAAAGGTGAGGGGGACGGGTTTGGATGCTGGCAGTTTGAATTTATGATGTGTGAAAGAATGTCTGGTGTGAGAGTGGTATGTGAAATGTTAAAATGTAATATTTTTTAAGGTTTGGAACAAAGGAAAGAAAACCTATGTTGTGATAGAAAATACAGAAGAGAAATTCCGGGCATTTCTTTAAACATGAAGTTGATACACTGAACGTCATTCTGTTGAAAGCAAGAGATGTCCAAATACCTTGTCCTTGTCTGTTTCTGGTTTGCAACTTACATTTCATTTATTTGATTGAACGGCTTGACACTCGATTTATTTTCTGTTGAAGTTTATTCTCCCACATAAAGCTCACCATCAGTGGAAAAAACAAGCTGCTCCATAAATACCAAAATTTGTTGAACCTGGTTTTTTGTGACTGCTGACCTGTATTCCCCTCCCTCCACTGCCTTTCTTTGCAGTGCTTACCTCCCAGCTCAGGCTTTCCTCTAGAGGCTCATGCTCTCAATTCTCTCAAAGTCTAGTTTCAATATCCCTAAAATATCCCCAAGGCAGGAGATACTTTGGGGTTTGGGAGTGCTTGTTCATACATTGGTCTGCCTGTGGTGTTTGGTTAGCAGGAGACGAGGCAGAAATGTAACAGTTGAGTTCCTGGTGTAGCGTTTCCCTCATCAGGGTGACTAATGTGTGTGTCTTGTGTGAATCCAGATGCTGATTTTTGAAAATGGTAAGAATATAGTTTTGGGAGACTTTTAACTCTCTCTTAAACTTGACTGAAATTGGCCATTGTGTTCTAAAAGTATTTAAGAGGAGACTGGCAGAGACCACAATTGCACAACTCTTGTTTAATTTGGAAACCAGGCAAAAAGAGTTACATTTTTTTATAAGTGCTTGGTCCCATATGCTGAAGAGTGGTTCATGTCTTAAACCTACTGTTGTCAATTAAACAATGCGTCTCAGTAAGCAAGACTGATTAAAACATATTTCTCGTAAGTTAATCTTGGGTTAACACTAGACATTCATCAGTGTACTTGTATCAAATATATTTGATTTATAATCAACATAACTCTGCAGACAGATGTTTTTCAGGTAGATGCAGGTAACGTGTCAAAGTTAAGCTTTGGTCACTTTAACTTGTCGTGCTGATTTAACCTGAAATAAAGGCTTTAAAACGTAAGGTTTTTTTAAAATATGAAGTCCTAACAATACCCTCTTAACATCTCTTTTGCAGTTTTTAATTTTTTTTTCTCCTAAAATGATGACATACCTCTATTCCAAGTAAATTCGTGGGTGTTGAGTGTTCCATTTCATGGCCATGTGAGAATAAAATTTATTTGAAATTATCAGTAAGATTCCATGGAACACTGATAGCATAATCTTAATGGAAAACTTCTGGAGGCTTATTTAATATATAATTTAGGTTTTTTTCAGTCTTCTTCCTTGATTGTCTGTTTCTTGCCTCCAGCTTGAATTGTACAACTTGTGGATCAGCCACTAAATAAACCTCACTGCAGGCACAAGACCTCAAGTTTTCCTTCCTTTTGCAGAATTAACATATGTCTTGCTAAAGCTCACCACTGATGAGGCTGTGCCAAAATGCCATTTTTCACCAGGCTGCTATGCCATCATCTTCCTCACGTAGGTCTGAGAACCTTACAAGCAGGTTTTGTTAAAGAATGAAGTGGTAGAGTGAGTCTTCGTTTACAAAAGGCATTAGAAGTAAATGACTCTATCTTTGTATTATACCGTTAATTTCACCCTTTTTACCTCTGTGTTTTTCTTTTTTTTTTTCAGACATTTTTTCTAACCTGTTTGATCTGAAGGGATGTGTTTTTAAGTGCCCCAAGCCCTTTCATCTTCTCAGTATTTGGTTTCACTCAGGCTTTGTGCCTTTTCAGTCAGAGGCCCTGAACGGTGTGACCTCTCTGTTTTCCTTGTGAATATTTGACACTAATGCTCAGATGCTTTCTCCTGACATTTCAAACCATTCCTTGCCTGGAAGGCTGGGGGTCAAGGTCTAGATGTGGTGGATGGATTCACTGTATGACAAACTATCAGTTTCCTTTTGTGACGCTTCTCCTTAATAATACTTTACTTCTGTTTTTCTTTGTTGGTGATATCATAGCAAAAGCACACTCAGGAATATGGAAAGATCTTCAAGTCTCACTTTGGTCCCCAGTTTGTTGTGTCCATTGCAGATCGAGATATGGTTGCTCAAGTCCTCCGGGCAGAAGGTAGAGCACCACAAAGAGCTAACATGGAATCCTGGCAGGAATACAGAGACTTACGAGGGAGAGCCACAGGACTGATTTCTGCGTAAGTGGTGTTAGCCCTTCATTTTCTTGGTCTTCTTGTAAAAGTTTAGTGACTTTCTAAACGACTGTACAGGTCATCTGGGTATTCAGGCTTTTCTGTGTGGGGAAATGTGTGTCTAGAGAGGGAAAGGGGATAGGAATTTACACTGAGTTGTCTGTTCTGCTGTAAATTTTCAAAGGTATGGTAATGAGGTAGAGTTTGAATGTGGAGTAAGCTACCTTGCATAAAAATATTCTTGGGCAATGTGTGTTAACTAGAGTTGTCTGAGCTGACTCACCTACCTGGAAGCACAAAAGGGCTTACTGGCTTTGGCACAGCACTGCACGAATGTGGTTTTATTGCTTCAGCTCTAGACTGTTGTATCCAGTTGGCAGTGTCCTGTGTGGACTTGTTGGCTCAGGCTGGCTTTAGCTTTGTTGTTCACCAAAGTGCCCCCTCAGTAGATTAATGCAGAGAAGCTACTGTAGGATATATTTACACTGTAGCGCATCCCCATGCAGATCTTTTTTTGTACGTGGCTGATTCTAGGAGAGGCTTTAAAGCTTGCATAAACTGGCAGTGCATGTGGGTGTGGTTAATTGCCACTGGGAACTACTCATGGTCCCCACTGACATAGGATGTTTATTTAGAGGGAAACTAATTTCCTGAATCATGAACAGTCTGTTTCTTTCATGGCAGCACAAGGCATTATGTATTGCACTGCAGACTCAAATTTTAAACTGCAGTTCAGGGTCAAACTAGCAGTTCCTTGATATTTTGAGAAATGAGATCTTGAATCAAGAGGTAGTCAGAAAATGTCTCTTAGAAAGATTAAATTCTTTTGCTGGCCAAGAAGTTTCTGTACCTTGCAGCAGCATTGCTCCAGGTAAAATATTTTGATGGGAAATGTGTAGCAGTTTAAAATAAGTGCATAAAAAACAATTGCCTGTGGATGCTGGAACCACTCTTCCCAAATACTCTGCTCATACGAAGCATACAGATGCTACATTTCAGATTTGTAGTCTTCACAAAGATTTCAATACATAGCTCAGCTAAAGGAGAATCTAGCTGTAATTATTTTATTTATTTTTTTTTTTTTATAGCTGGGTCTGCTATCCTATTACTTTATAGGTTTGTAACCAGCATAACTGAAAGTGATGTATCAGCAGTGGAAGTTGTGGTACTAGCTCAAATCATTGATTTGTCAGATCTGAATGTGACACCTTTCTTTGCTACTTAAGCACCAATTCTAGGTAAAAGCAGTTTTGCAGACTTTCCATTCAAATATTTGTTTAAATTTAATAAGAAAATTTTGCTGATTTCTTGTGTTAGCTACTACTAAAGTACTACTAGAGAGACACTTGTTAGATTCAGAACACTGAGTGGACAGGTTCTGTCATTCAGACCAGAGATTGACTTACACAGGTACATGTTGCACCAGTGAAATTTAACGAGGGCATGAAATAAATACAGGATAAAAATGTTGGAGCATAATACCAAATACACATTAACATCATTTTCATTTCACTACTAGCAGAGCTCTTACAGAGCTGATCATCATTAAGGAAAATTGTGTATAGATATTATTAATAATTTCTTCTAGGGAGGGGGAACAATGGCTAAAAATGAGAAGTGTACTGAGGCAAAAAATTCTAAAACCCAAAGATGTGGCTGTTTACTCTGAAGGAGTCAATGAAGTTATCACAGATTTAATTAAAAGAATCCACACCCTCAGAAGTCAAGAGGATGATGGGGAAACAGTGACCAATGTTAACAACCTTTTCTTCAAGTATTCAATGGAAGGTAAGCCCAGGCTTTATAAGATCTGTAAAGAAAATGGGTGTGATGCAGTGTGCTTATGGTTGGGCTTTTTTGCCAAATGACTAGTGCCCCGTTGTGATTAATCTGAAAACAGAAGCTTGATACTCTGCATTCAGGTGTCTGCCTGCTTAGTGCAGTAATTATCAGTAGAATTCCTTTGTAGAGTCCAAAGAGATGATACCTTGTCTGAAGGGACAGCTCCTGTGGAAGTGCTGGAGTCAAGACCCTGAGCAGTTTCAGTGCTTACTGTTTCTCTATTAATTTCTCATGAGTAAGGGTGTTGACCTTCTGACCATGTGACTTCGAAGTCATGTTAATTTAAGAATGTACTGGCTAAATTCCAGGTGGGAATTCACTGTGTGATGTATCTAAATTCTGTTCCTAGCTTAATGTGGTAAAAGGTACTGGTTTCCCCTGCCTACACATGCCAATGTGGGATTGTTATGCTTGCCCTAAAAATCATCTGCCCCTGGCTACCATGAGTGAGGAAACGCTAAATGGAAGTCCAGCCTGGACTAGTGTGGCATTTCCTCTGTTCTTAGAAATATCTGATGGTGTTTTATATTTTGTGCATTCCTTTAACTGACTGAAATACAACCTGATATTGTAATATGTAGTGCCTTTTAAAAAACCTTGGTACTCTTTGCTGACAAGCAGCTTAATAATTTGACATTTGCAAGAACTTCTAAACCGCTCACCTGTGAAGATGCTGCATCAAATTGCTGGCTGCCTGTTTGGTAAAAAAAACTGAGTCTGCTCTAAATTAATAGTGTTTTAAAATGGCATTAAACTAAGAGTTACCAATTTTATGGAATTTTAATCTCTGAGCTTCCAGATTCACATTAACTGATGGGTTAGTTTAAATTCTTCACGTTCTTCTAGTTTTTCAATTATAACTTGTGCCTGGCATGCACCTATTTCCTCTACGAATGTAAGTTTGAATTAACTTACACTGTCAGCTGTACAGGGAACCAGTGTGCAAGATTGTTTTGAAAGTACCATATAAAGAAGAAAAGAATGTATAAGAACCAGCAGTTGTTGAGAGAAGCACGGAAGAAACAAAAGGCACATAAAAATATCTTACCAAGGAGGAAAATTAGGGAAGGAAGATTGAGTTGAAAATAGCCAGATTTTAAAATTATTTTTGTCTATAAGGAATACAAAACAACAGACAGGGAAGAAGAAAATTTTCTTAAAATATCTATCTATGTGCTTGAGAGTTTGATGGAGAGCAATATCAAGGTTAAACATCATTATCTAGTGTACCTATTTTTAAGAGCAAAAACAGAGAAAAAAGGAGACTAGAGCATTAATAGACCAGTTACTCTAAGTATCTGGTTAACAGTTACTTTAATGTTTCTTGGGAAGATGTGGACCAACTGTTAACCAATGAATTAAAAAGCACAAAATTTATTTAAAAACAACCGAATGGATGGAAATGGCTTTGGTAAATTATCTAAATGCCTTTTAAAATTACCTAACTGCCCCACTGGATTTTATAAAAAAACATTACACAAGAGTATTTTGATAATAGGAATGCTTTTTGCACCGTACCACATGATATTTTCATAAATAAACTAGGTAATATGATCTAGGTTTTGCAAGTTGAGTGGAAAAATTGCTAGAAACCTGTGTTCAGCAAGTAATTAAAAAATGGTTTGCTGTCAAACTGAGAACATTTTGGCAAACTCCAGAAGGGCAGTTTCTGTCTGTGTTCTGTTGAGTATTTAATAATTTGGGTATGTTTATAGAAACTGAGCTGAGAGATTGCAGGAGCGCTAATGGATGGATAAGAATTAACTTGATAAATAGAAGAAATGGTCCAGAATTGAGAAAACAAAGAATTTAATTAAAAAAAAAAAAAAAAAAAAAAAAACAAAAAAACCAGAAAAAGTACTGTTTTTTGAGGGGGAGTGACTGGTATTTCTAGTAGGGATCACTGCAAAACTAACAGAAAAACATCTGAGGAAAGTGGAGCAAGTCAGGAACAAGAAAGGAGTCAATATTGTCACTCGCAACAGTGTCCCACAGTTGCCACTTTTCAGGGCCACATGGAGTATACTGCGTGCAGTAGAATCTCTGCCTGGAGTGCCAGCTCTTGAGCCATTTGTGCATACTCATTACTCATTTACTACCCGCTTACGACAAAGAAAGTTTAGCCACTGCTAGAAACTCCTGTGTTGCCACCACTTACCAGAAAGGTCTTTGGACTTGTACATGCCTCTGTGTGTTCAGAGGCCATGTTGGCAGGCTTGGGATGCGTGGTGCAATGCACAACACAGAACCGTGCTGGAGGGCTGCTGCTCTGCCTCTGCTGGCACTCCTGGCTGTCTTCTCAGGCCCAGCATTACTGACTTAGTAACCACTGTCTCACTACAATGTTTAGCTGGGATTTTTTACTGTGTTTTAAATTTCTATTTTATCTGCTCCCAGCTGTGGTAATAATAGCTGAACATTTCTGGAAGGTAATTCCCTTATGTTAGCATTTTAATTCCTTAAATTATTCATATGTATATATGCATGTGTACAGCAAATTCTTTGATTTCATGTGTGCAGGTGTAGCAACTGTTCTGTATGAATGCCGGCTGGGCTGCCTGGAAAACAACGTCCCACAGCAGACTGTTGAATATATTGAGGCTCTGGAGTTGATGTTTAGTATGTTTAAGACCACTATGTATGCAGGTGCTATTCCCAAATGGCTTCGTCCACTTATTCCAAAACCCTGGAGAGAGTTCTGCAGATCCTGGGATGGACTCTTCAAATTTAGTAAGATTTAGTAGTAGAAAAGTTGAGCTGTATTTCTGCAGGTTCTGTCTGTTTGAACGGGACTTGCTGCATTTCTCTTCTAAAATTATAAGAATGCATTGTGGCAGTAGTAAATTTCATATTAAACGCAGACTGCCCAAGGGAACCATTTTAAAAAATACTCTACTGAGAAAGAATTTTACCGGTACACTTTAAATATTCCTCTGTTTCATACTCCTGTTTCTTTATTTGTCTTCATATGTTTCAGCACCCAGTCCTTGCTCCAGGTCCAAGTTCTTTGCCAAGGCTTTATCTTAAGCCACACAATTTTAATGAGGGTAGTTTTGTTGACTTCAGCAAGTTTTCAGTCAGGCACTCTGGCAAATAATCACCACTAAAACTGACTAGAAAGTTAAAAAAATAGACCCTAGCAATTAATGGAACTCTTTGTGAAGTTTATATATACACAGACAAGCACATAAATTGACACAGAAGTACACTGCTGTACTATAATATGGGGTTTTTTTTGTAAAGAAAGCATTCCAGATTTATGAATCTGCTTTCATGTAAGTAAGGAGTTATCTTTGCAGTATGTATTTTTTTTTAATATCCTGAAGTGTTAAAAAAATCCCTGAACCCTCTCTTACATTATAAAGCTGCATGCATTTTGAGTTTATTTTATTAGTACTATTTGCCTGGGTAGGTGTGTGTATGTCTTCTTTCATTTCTTAACTTTTAATATGCCTAATATACTTCATTTTTGATGTGTGGTTATCTGTACCTCTAGTAGGCAATAGGGAATCCATTTAATGCTGATACAGATGTGTTTTCTCTGAAACACACTTTTTTAAATTGCCACTTTTAAATTCTTTCCCGTGATAAAGTACTCTTGTTCCCTTTTGTGGGTTAAAAACAACAGCAAATTTCAACTTTATCCTAACAGCATCTGAAAAACTGTTCTTGAGGAATTTGTTCCATTTGAAACTTGTTGTCATGCTGTTTCTTTGTTTAATCCCTTTGTGAAAAAGGAATTAAATGATGAAGATCACTGTATGTGAAGGGTGTATTTGTGTAGGCTTCATAAAGGAACTTGTTGATTCTAGTTCACTTTTTGGTAAGGTCATTCTGTGAGGTATTAAACTTTCTGAGGAGTTTTCCTATTTTAAAGTCCTTGTTTCACGAAGATGCTGTTTGTAGTCACTAAACGGTGCTGTTGGTGAAACTGCTCAAAATGTCATTCACTGAAGTCTTCCAATTTTTGTTATTACTTGATGCTCATCATCTTTGTCTTCAGTGTAATCTGACTCTGTGGCTTTGACCTTCTGGTTGCTGCTAGCATCTAGTAGCAGCCTCTGTGTTCTGATTTGCAGCATGCTCTGCAGAGCTCATCACTTCTTGCAGAGTCAGCAGAAAACAAGTCAGGTGAGCATGAAAACTTGACCTTGAGCTTCCTTTGCTGCCTGTCAGAAACTGTCTTTTGTGTCCTTTCATGTGCTCAGCATTCTCCTGCTGTGAGCTACCAGGGCTCCTGTCAGCTCAGTCTTTCCTCACCATGAGCATCCAAGGACTTCCACCACCATGCTGTTACCTTTTCCCTAAGAAAATAGATTCAAAAATTTTTTTTTTTTTGGCTATTTAGTATAGTGTAAGATAGAAATGTCATTACTGAATGGAACCAGCAGAAAACAAAAAATGGAGGCTTAACTTTTTTTTTTTTTTTTTTAATCCCCCAGGTCAAATCCATGTTGACAACAAATTGAAGGCTATTCAGTCTCAGCTGGACCAAGGAGAAGAAGTGAATGGTGGGCTGCTTACGTACCTCCTAGTGAGTAAGGCACTTACTTTGGAAGAGATCTATGCCAATATGACTGAAATGCTTCTGGCAGGAGTGGACACAGTAAGCCTGTTATCATTTTTCTTGTGCACAGTTGTTTTATAAGCCAGTACCATTCTCAGCTGTCTTCAGGGGGGTTAAGTTCTTTATAAATAGATAATTTCTGACACATGTAAGTCATGCTGTCTTTGAAGGGACAGAAAACACATCCAGCACTGTGTAATCCCTTCACTAGAATGGAGACAGCGTTCTTACTCTAGCTGTGGTTTACAGGTACCCATCATTTTGGAGATGGTTCCATAGTTTATTGAATAGATAAAATGGCAATTGTCTTCAGGTTCAGCTTGAATTTTATACATTTTCTTTTACTAGTTTGATTATCAGATTGGTTTTTCTGCTTCTTTAGGTAAACCACAATAGAAAAGGCTGCTGGAAGTCAGTGTGAAACGTATTGATCACTAAACTCATTTGTACAGTTTGGTAAAAGATTCTCACATATGGCTAATTAAATCAACTGGGACAAACATTATGGACCAGATATCTGGTTTCTGCTGAAGCACATTAGGAGGAGGGTATTAGGCCAGCACTAATGTGGGTAAGGGGCAAGTTCAATCTGCCTGGGCTTGTGCTGGTAACGTACAGTCTGAGGCAAAGAGCTGTGGTAATGGGGCTCAGTATTACTGAGGCTGGTGTATACAATGTGTTAACACCTAGGGAAGCTTTTTAAGTGGCCATCTTGCCTTATTCTTCTGATTTGTCATCTAGAGCATTTGAAGAAACATAAGGTAATGTGTATATATATTCCCCTCCTCTCATTCCTATCCTATGAAATTCGTGTAACTTAGTGTTGACTGCAGCCTGACTATCAGAAGAACAAGAAAAGATAAAAATGAGGTATTGTATATACTATGTATATGGAGTTATTCAGAATATCAGTGAACAATATTGTTGTAAATTATTGTAACCAAAGAATTTAAAAAAAAAAAATAATATGATAAAGTGCTAGGTAAGACTGTGTTTCATAGTTTTATAGGTGAAAAAAGGTTAGAATAAGTTTAGTAAAGTAAAGTAGCCTTAAAGTAAAATAAACCTCTCTGGGTAATTTAATTCAGATTTTTTTTGGTTTAAGAAAGTTTGAGGTTTCTAAAGAAAAAAACAAAAAAACAAAAAAACAAAAAAACAAAAAAAAAAAACAAAAACACAAACCCCAACCCCAGCAATAACACAAGACTTCTGAATACCAAAATAAGGAGCATATATAAAGGTTATTTATGTGCTGAAGATTATTCCATTGCTTAAATGTCCCAAGGGTTTATGAGTTTGGAGGGCTTTTTGATGTTCGGTTCTTAAGTAAAGCTAAGCTATTCATTCTCCTATTCATTTTCAGATCTTTCAGACCATTGATTTTCTATTTTTAATGTGTTACAGAGTTTTCATTAAACTAAAATGACAATGTTCAAGTTCATGCCAACAAGAGTTTCTCTTCCTGTTTGACTCAGCTTTCTCAGTTGGCAACAGTCTTTTTGGGAGAGGACGGTACTTCTGATTTCCTCATTTCCAAGTACAAGAGAGAAATTGAGGGAATCTTTTTTTCTTCTGCTGCTGTCACTTCAGACCTCATTTTATCGTAGAAACTGAAAGAGTTTTAGAGGATTATAGAAGATTTTAACAAAATTGTAAGGCAGTTTTTGGCTACAAAGCATTTTGGCTGTCCCTGGAACAGTGCTAATTTTTAAGAGGTTATGAAGGAGCTGGGAACTTTTTTTAGAGTGTTTATTTTGGAGAAGTTCTGTATACAGATGGCACATTTGCCAGCTTCTCTGAGCTCTGAGAGGAATAGAACAGGGTTGCATTTTAGCTAGGGACAGCCACTCAATATTACAAGAAGAAAAGAAAGGTTTTGAGAATGATACCACTAGCATTTTACCTCAATTTGAAGACAAGGCATAAAAGGTCATTGTCATGATGAATTTGTATTCTAAATTGATCTTAAATGTAAGCCCAAAATAAGACATTTCCAGAAGTTGTTTTTTTTTTTTACAAACACATTGTTTATAACATTAAGCTTTGTTGTGCTAATGAGTGAGAAGCTGAAAATAAAACTGTTAACTGGGTAGAAAATTAAATTAGTTGTCTTTGTTATACAGGTTGAAAAAATATGTTTAAAAATAATTCAAGAAAATTAGGGCAGAGCTTAGAATTTTTCTCTCTAAGGTACTAAGTATCATAGAATCCTTTAGGTTGGAAGAGACGTTTAAGATCATAAAGTCCAACCATTAAGCCAACACTACGAAGTCCTCTGCTAAAACAGATGAGAATCTGTCAGGGTTGGAAGGGACCACAAGGATCACCCAGTTCCAACCCCTCTGCCATGAGCAGGGACACCTCACACTAGATCAGGCTGCCCAGAGCCTCATCCAGCCTGGCCTTAAAGACCCCCAGGGATGGGGCCTCAACCACCTCCCTGGGCAACCCATTCCAGGGTCTCACCACTCTCATAGTGAAGAACTTCTTCCTCACATCCAGTCTGAATCAACCCACTTCCAGCTTTGCCCCATTCCCCCTAGTCCTGTCACTACCTGATATCCTAAAAAGTCCCTCCCCAGCTTTCTTGTAGGCCCCCCTAAGATGCTGGAAGGCCACAATAAGGTCACCCCGGAGCCTTCTCTTCTCCAGACTGAACAGCCCCAACTCTCTCAGTCTGCCCTCACAGGAGAGCTGCTCCAGCCCTCGGATCATTCTGGTGGCCCTTCTCTGGACACGCTCCAGCAGGTCCACGTCCCTCTTGTCATGGGGGCTCCAGAACTGGATGCAGCACTCCAGGTGGGGTCTCACCAGAGCAGAGTAGAGGGGGAGAATCCCCTCCCTCCACCTGCTGGCCACACTTCTCCTGATGCAGCCCAGAAGGGACACAGATAGGCACAGAATGATTGCATTGTCACTTTCCCTGCCATACTTACTCAGGATCACTGAAAATACATTTTTTGTTTTTGTGGTAAATTTTCTGTCTTCAGTAGTGGTTGTAAGAGAAATGTGCTCAGGTAAGGCTGTTGCCTTGACCTGAGTGTCTTGGGTGCAGCCACTAGTAGAAGCAAAATGTCCTGATTCTGTCTAGTGTTTGAACCAGGTAGTCCCTTAAATCCACATAGCTTAAACACAGGGACTCATGGTTGAATGAATGGTTGAATCTTGGATTGCAAAACCTTGAAGAGTTGAAATACTCAGTCCTGTGTTAGTGCAGGTGGAGTGAGTTCATGCAAGAGTGTGTCCCAAACCACAACTCTGCATTGAAGTGCAATTTTCCCAGCTGAGGTGAAAGAGGATTAGATGATGGGTTACTTCAGATCTTCTCGTGCTTGAAGTTGAATTGCATTGTGTTCTGTTTCTTCCGTTGTACAAAACACTTTAAAATGATTTTTCACCTATTACCTCTTTTCTGGAGCCTTTATGATTATTAGAATAATTAATTATGGGGCATGTGTGTATATGTTAACATTTTGGGGTCTCTTTAAATATGTATGCTCCTCTTCAAGCTTCCTTAAGAATGCTTTCAAATAGGATGCTGAATTTCATTCAGGTGGGTATTTTCAAGAGGCAGAAAGTGCCAGCTGTGGTGTAGCATTGCTTCCCAAAGGATCAAGTATAGTCTTAGCAGTGGTAATATAAATTCTGTTGTGTAGGTGCTATGAGGAGACCACCATATGCTTAAAAGGGACTGGCAATGTTCTGAGCAGTAATTCTCTTATCTTGTTTCCTGTGAAATGTTTTTGTTGGGAAGAAAGGTGAAACATCGAAAACATAACAGTTAACTTAATCCATTGCTGTTTGGAATGCTTATGTTTCAGTATTGTTTATGTAGTTTTTGTTTGCATTTGGTTTTTCTGTTGCCTTTTGTATTTCACTGGGAAAATATCAGCACGGATTGTTTTGATATGTGGAGGATTTTTAGATGGAAAAGGGAAGGAGGAGGGGATGATGAAGTCTGACAGCCTCCGATTCAGTCCAGATGTGAATCGTTGCCAGTCTGTTTTATAACTTTAAACATACAAAACACAGAGCTGAAAACTGGTTGTTTTTCTTGGCTTGAAATTACTTTTAATCTAATCTCATTGGACTTGATGATGATGGTTGTGGTTTCTTCCTTAGACTTCTTTTACATTGTCCTGGGCAACATACTTGTTGGCAAAGCACCTTTCAGCAGTGTGTTTATGAAGAAATAGTCAATAAGCTGGGGAAAGACCAAGTTCCTGTTGCTCATGATGTCCCGAAATTGCCTCTCATTAGAGCTGTGTTGAAAGAAACCTTAAGGTAGGTAGCAGGAAACTGCAATTATTAATTAAAAAAAATTAATTCCATGTCATTGTAATTGCTTTTGAGCACATGCTAATGTTTGTATTTAGTTGTTTCTGCTATTTCCTGCTTCTGATTTTATGTATGGTAGCAATATTGCGTCCAAGGGCACCTAAGCAATGAAACATGATAGAATACATAGTGTTTAATGTTTTTAAATGTGCTAGAAGTTGTATCATCTATGTAGGACATGTCTGTTATGGTAGGTAACTGAAAGCTTGATTTTTTGAGTTTTATGTATTAGTCTGTATGATGGAATGTAACAGCCTCCTCCCCCACACTGGTACTTTGCAGTGCCACTACAATCATTTTAAGCTTCTTGACTTAAATTGAAGGCATGTGAAATGCTTTTTTTATATGTTTATACCAAACGTTCATAGTGAGGTGAGTGGAGTAAGAGGATTTTAGAGAAGGCACCAACAAGGCTTATTCAGATCCCGGTAGTGCTAAAACATCTCCAGCTTGACCAATCAATTGCGTGTTTGTACATGTGTAAAGCAAACAGACTAAACAGCCCAACCCCTTGTAAATAATTTTTCTCAGATATTAGTCATATTCTCACAGATGATTTGAAGTCTTTGAACCTCCAAGGTGTTCTATACTTTTGAACCTTGTTCTATACCTTTTTGCTGTGAATGCATTTTGTACTCCCATTGCATATTTTTTAATGGAAATTAGAATCCAAACTTTTAAAGTTGTCTTAGTTGTTACTGTTGAACTTCTCATAAATGTTTGTCTGCAGGTTATACCCAGTATTGCCAGGAAATGGAAGAGTAACCCAAAAGGACCTGATCATTGGAGGATACTTGATACCTAAAGGGGTAGGTTCTGTTGCAGTCCTTTGCAGAGAACACAGTTTCATTTTTGTGTATGAGTGTGATCTTTTGCAACACATGTATGCTTCAAAAGGTTTCACCAAGCAAGAGCATTCAGAGGAAAGTATTTCAATAATGCCTGTTTAAATGACAAAAATGGTTTTTATAATTGACTTGTTGCTGTTGGGTTTTTTTAGATTTTGTCCTCACCCACTAATCAAATTTACCTTCATGGCTTGTTCTTCATACTCGTGAGAGTGGAATCTATAAATCACATCCCTGCACAAAATTACAACTTAATTAAAAAAGCATGGATTGCATTATTCTTGCAGTTTTATAATTCTTTGCCTGTTAATTCCCTTTGTAGGAAGAGTTTAATTTCCTTTTAAAATTATGAATCTTTCCTTTATGCTATGGGAAGATTATACAGAGCTCATGGTAGAACTGCGTGGCTCTCTTTTAAATGACAAGATGTGTATGTTACAGCAACGTAGCTCTAAACTAGTCAGGATTCTTAATATACTTATTTGTGTTATTACACATACATATTTCCCTGCCCACCCTGGATTTATTTGGAAACATCTTCACATTGATTATCACTATTTTATTTCCTGAGGTGTTATGGGTTTTTTTCCTTCCCATCCCCCATTTATTCCTTTTCCATTGTCTTGTATCTCTCTTCTCCCTTTCTCTCATGCTATGATTTTGAGACAGTTTGCAATAACTGTGACTTTTGTTCCCATTTCCTTCCCTTCTTCATCTTCTCTAACATAGCCAGCGACATTTAAAACAATTTGAAGTTTATTTAATTTGACCAGTTGAGAAGGGGATCTGGTTTTCTAGGTATCCTTTTTTGTTATAGTTACTCAGAGTTCCGTAGTTTTTATTCTCCCGCATTGCCGAAATTGCAGTAATTACAAATGCCTTTTTATTGTGTTATGTGTGTTTGGGTTAGCTAAATATAATTTATTTCCTCAGACACAGCTGGCACTCTGTCATTACACTACCTCATACAGCGAAGAAAATTTCTCAATGGCAAATGAGTTCCGACCTGAGCGATGGCTGAGAAAGGACAATTTGGACAGAGTAGACAATTTTGGTTCCATCCCCTTTGGTTATGGCATTCGAAGTTGCATAGGAAAAAGAATTGCAGAGTTGGAAATTCATCTTGCACTGATTCAGGTTAGAGCTATGTGACAGCATTGCAAGAAGAAAAATATATTGGTGTGATTCTTTTCTATGTATAATGTTTCTGGGTGACTTGCCGTGCTCAAAACCTTTGTTTTGGAGTGTTGTTTAACATACTCATCCTGCAATGGCTTAAAAAATTGTAAATAATCGTGCCTGAAATGTAATACACTAGTTAAAACTACATTGCAGAAGAAAGTGTCTCTGTAGTACAAATGAAGTAAAACTAAAGGTAAGATTGTTAAGGAACTACATGATTTTAGGACAGAAGGTTTTTGCACACAAACTGGAATCCTTTCTTAATGTGTATTATAATGGTTACCCGCTCAGTTTCAGTGTTTTAGTTACAAAGAATTCAGCGCTTACAAAGACGTAAAACAATTTTTATATCCTTGTACTGACCACAGTCTTGCAACAAATGGTAGAATTTTTATTTGTTCTGTGGTTTTCTGCCCTTTCTTGTTCTTTCAACTTGATTACCATTTTAGGTATACTTAGTTTATAAGTATATAGGTAGTTAGTACATATATACATAGGTATATATTGTTTTCCATTGCTTCATATTATAAAGAAAGCTTTCTCATCAGCTGCTACTTTTTTTGGCATTTACAAGACATCCTTTAACTCAACTACTAAGATCAGATTGTGCAATCAAAACTCAAAGATTTGGAAATGCTGTAGTTACTTAACTATAAAAATATTTAGACCGATTATATGTATTCAAAGCAAAGCTTGATTGAATTTGCCTTAGAATTTCCTTACGTAAACACACAGGGCAATCTCTGAACAATTAGCATCATTCTTTCCGATAGCTCTCAGGGGGCTGGATAAAAGAATCATACTTGCATCTTTTTGAAAAGGAGGATCAAGGAAGTAATAGCCTGCTTTTGTCTTCTGGAAAGAAACTAGAACAAAATGGCACGCAACCTATTTACAAGCATTAAGATGATATTCGAGTGGTTTAAAAGTAGAAACACATGACGAAGCTTGGGCTGATCAAAGGGAAGTTGTTTCAGCCCAGTCTGATTTCTTTTTTTGACTCGATCACTTTCTTAATGTGGTGGATATAAAATAAACCATGTATTCTGACTTCAGGAAGTACTTTCACATGTCCTATATGTTGTTCTCACAATTAAATTAATAAAATTTGTTCCAGGTGGAAGTACCTATAAAATGCATGCACAGCTGGCTGGAAAAAAGAAATAGCTGGAGGCAATAGCTGGCAAATATTTGCTGTTGAACTGGGAAAGTATTTAATTAAAGTTCTGTAAGAGTCTGTCCTGCATTTGATTTAGGTTGGTATTTTCATTAGCAATGTAAATAGATTAGAAAATACTTTTAGAGTTTGGATAGAACACCAAGCTGACATGAATTCAGTTAAAATCAGAGTATGTGAATATAGAATTAGAAAAAAAATGGGGAGGTGTACCAGAATCGACTCAAAATGGTTCACTAAGGACAATTGCAAGTTCCTGCTCTTGAGAAGAAATCAAATGCATAAATACAAATTGGTGACCAACTAGCTGAGTAATTTGTACCATAGAAACAGGATGGAGTGATATAGTAAAAAACTGGTCGACAATAATGATGCTAATTATTCTGACAAGGCAGTGTAATTCTTGGGATATTTTAACAGTATGAGCAAGCATGTGGTATGTCAGAAAGAGGAGCTAAATTCCTCAGTCTCACCAAACACTGGCGAATACTCAGACCATGATAGAAAACTGACCCTGTGTGCTGCATTTTAAGGACAATATAGTCAAATTGGAGGAAATTTGGAAGACAGCAAGAATAACAAGAATGAGAAGTTTGAAAAAGAGCGGAATGAGATGAAAATTCAGTCAAACATCTAAAGGTAGTTAAGCATAGGAAAATAATGCATTGTTCATCGTGCTGACTAGCAGGAGGATAAGAGAAGAATACTTGGTTTATAGGAAAAAGTGTTGGAGTTATAATATTAGGAAAAGTTCAGCATGTTGTGGTATTTCCTCCTTGAAAGTTTAAACAGATAGCTGAGGTAGTCTATGTTCAGCTTCAAAGCAGGTGAGATAAATCTCATGACATTTATTTTAGTCCACAGTTTCTATGATTTATATTTGCAATTAATTTGGGTTCATTAAGTGTATGGAATTAAAGGTTTAATGTATAGAAAACCTGTGTGGTTGAATTATAGTGATGTATTATTCTATTTAGGAGAGGTTCTAATATGTGACTCCTTGAATTGTAATTGTTTCAGTTGGTGCACTGGACGGTTGCTGCCTCATGTTTATTTTGTTTCCTGCTGCCCAGGAAAAGAAATGTATGTGGTGGAACTGGGACTTTTTTGTTGCTTTATTTTATGATTGCACATATTGATTTATATGAAAGAAGTGAAATAAGAAACACATAGAGAGGAAGGTCATGAGGTTTGAAAGAGACCTTAGTTTCCTTGACAGCTCAGGCTGTTTAATCTAGTTGTGTGGAAGTTCTTCAGAAAGTACTGATTCAGTCCTTTCTCAATCGGAGGAGGAAGATTTTTTGACCATAATCTTCACCTTGTAACAACTATTTTTTCATTCCTTTGTGGGAATTGTGGCACTTAGACTCCACAGAACTGGCAACAGAAATTTTGTTTGTGACAGTTTGTTCTATTTTCCAAGGTCTCCCAATCATCTCTCATTTTGCAGCTTTTTTAATACTTGTCTTGTTTATCTTCACAGTTGCTTCAGAATTTTGAGATCAAAGTTTCTCCCAAAACTCAACCAGTCCACGCCAAAACCCATGGACTTTTGACTCCTGGAAATTCCATCAACGTGAGATTTTCTGACAGAAAGTGAGACCCTAGTGTTCTGGAAATACTGCTGTGATTTTCATGGGAACAGACTTGCATCTTATGGATGTTTAATCATGCCTGTTCTCTGGTTTGTAGCTATTTGGCAAAATGATGAAGTATTACGTTCTGCCTTAGTTCTAGCAGTATGTAAGAGAATCTATTACCTCTCCTGTAATAGATAATTACACATGTAATTTTTCAGTATATATTTTTATATCTTGCACTGGAAATCTTTTACCTGGAAAGATTTCTGGAAGTAACAACACATGCATTGGTGGGGAAAATAAAAGGAAAAACCAAGCAAACAAACAAACAAAAAACCCCAACCAAACAAAAAAAAACCACAAACAAAGCACCAAAATTAAACTCAGATGTATTGGTATCATTCAGTGGTTTTGTTACACTGCTTTGTCATAAAAGTCAGCTACTCTGAGGCTATTTGAGAGCAAGAGTTGCTATATAATATGTGAAAGTTAGCTGCATTTATGAGTTTGTTTCTTACTCTCCAGTGGTTTTTTAAACCTTACACCTAACATTGAACTTATGAAATCATTTTTCTCATCTGTAAAAACATTTACTCTGCATGTATTAAAAAATTAATACATTAGCATGAGAAGTAAAGATAGAAAAAATACAGTTTGTCACTTTGTATAGACTCAAAATACAGAACAATTAAAAGTTTATCCAAACATAATCCCCATAAAATGTTTTTCATTTTTTTTTAAATTAAAAAATCTTACAAATAAGTTTAAATGTCACTTAGTAGAGTTATGAAGCCAGATGGTGTCCTTATCACCAAAGCATAAGCTGAGTGGAATAGCACAAGCCACTTTCACTGTTCAAGCTAATATGATGCCAAAACCAAATGCAAATAATAAAAAATTAAGTAGCTATTACATTTTTATCTTTTATTTAACTATCTTCACAGTTCTTCAACAGTAAGAACTGGAAACTTGTGACACGGTGACCCCATAGGTAGGTGCACGGTGGCCTTCCGTAGGACGGAAATGTGACTACTGAAGTATCTGGACATTTTTACTATCTAGTGTCTAATACAAAGAGTGGACACCTGAAATGTTTTTTTAAAAAAAATATTTTATTTTTCCTCAGACAATTAACAGAAAATCCTCTCTTGCATGACACTTCAGCCTTCAGGTAACTTCAGTGTCACTCCACTAACCTTATGTTCTCATTTTTGAGAGAAACCTCATACCTTGGGTCCATGTTATGTCTTGAACAACACTCAAACCTGCACACCCTAATATAAATTTAACTATGTAACTATGTGTAGTTAACTGTTTACATGGCAGGCTCTGGCTGTTTTTTGTGAAGTAGTTTACATGCTGATAATCTTCAACTTTTCAGCCACATGAGGAGTTAGAAAAAAGTTGTGCAGCTCGGTTCTTCAAATGACAACGTTTTTCTTTGCTCATCTAGCTAGAAGAAATCAAAGACTGTAGTTTTAATGGTGTACATGAAATTCCATGTAGCTAAGTACTCCAGTCACATTGTTGTAGTACTTTGGTTACTTTTTGTAATGCCTTTCAAGGTCTTAAGAAAACAAACAAACAAAAAGTTACCTTTGTATGGATCCTGTATATAAAATAACACTAAACAAAATTGATCTGATTTGTGAGAAGATTAAATGCGTACATGATGACTTTAAAATGTTAGTCCTGTATTGAGCATATGCATGTACTATATGAAAAACATGTAATCTGTGGAGGTTTTTTTACTTGAATGAGCTTGCCTTCTGATGCTGTTTTCCAGGGCTTCACATTATTCCCTTTTTTTTTTTTTTCCCCTTTCCCATTGCTATTTCCAATTGTCCCCCTCTTAGACTGAAGAGAATTGTATTTACCAGAGCCAGCTGACATCCCAAAGGAGATATTTTGTAAAAGTCTGATTCAGAGTTTGCAGATTGAGCTTTTGACTCCATAATTCTGCCTACTTTTATTGATTTGGGGACCAGAAAGCCTTGAATCCAAGTTTGGATTCTTTATGGTGACCTCCTTTTGCACTCATAGCGTCATTAGAACCCCCAGCCATTGCTATGTAGCAGCACATTTGCTGCCTGATACCAGCCCCTAAGTAGCATGTCTCTGTAGGAGTGGAAAGAAGCATTCTAAAATGCTCTTTAAAGTATTTGAATCTTTTCATGAAAACAGAAAGCCTGTGATTTGTTTTAATAGAGCATCTACCCGTGTACGTTGTCTTTTATACATAATAAAATATTTATACATAATTTACAAGTCCTGGTTCTTATTTTAATTGCTATTTATAATTACATTTTTCTTTAGCATCTTCAAATTTTTAACTTATTGGATGGAACTGAAAGATGCACTGCTACATGAAAAATTACTAGTTCAGCTAGAAAACGTGGGAATTCATACAAGAATTTAAGATGTGTAATGACCTGGCTGAGGGAGAGGTAATGTTATGTTAAAAGTATTGTCATTCTAGAGGGAAGTTACTGGAGAAGTTTCCCAATACTTCTACCTATATAAATACCTCAACACTCTGGGACTGATTCTAATGTATAACGATAGTTGCTTCATAGAGGGAAGAGTATTAGTGATAGAAAGAGTGATGGCATCGAGTATGGGAAAAAAAATTCCAAAACAAGAGAACACAAGATGTGATAGAGATGGGCTGGAATGTTATAACAA